GTCTAATGAAGCTCAAGCAACGTCCACATTAGTCTCCCTTAGGAGTTAAATTCATATTTTCCGATGAGCACCCCTTGCCTTTTCATATTGGAGTCCCCCCCAGGTTTCCAAATGTCTAAAGGGAAGTGAAGGAGTGAAGGAGTGATGGAGTGAAATCATTCCACCACTACAACTTGGAAAATAATACATTCCAAGTTTAAAAACAAGCACACACCCAAAGGGCCAGTAGGATTTAACACCAAACGTTTTGTTTTTCCGCTAATTTTGTTTTGTCCATCAATTGTTTACATGGAAAAAGTTTCAAGCTACAAAAGAGACTGGCCCATCAAACTAGGGCTATATAGAACTGACATTTCTAAGCACATTTTGCCAAAAAGGGACTGCTGTCAAAAATTTTATACAGTGCAACAGATTGATTGTGCTTTTACAATCAGAAAAAGTCAACTGGTAGGAGGGAGGCAAGGTGGGTAAGTACATGTAAGTAAGTAACCAAGCAAGTAAGCTTAGTAAGAAGGGGAGGATTAAAATGCACCTCACTGCCAACTCCCTTCCCAACACCACACGTTCTAATACACTGGACAAGAGTAAAGATACATGTAGCTGGGGAAGTTAAGGGATGCCTGTATCAGTGATAAAAAAGACCGATACCAAATACCAGTTGCCATGATGAATATGAATTGATAAGTTTACATCTACATCTACATCTACATATATTTAGTTGATAAAGTCCCGCAAGACATCACATCAACTGTGAACCTTTGCTACAAAACAGAAAATTGTGATTCTCAGAGAAATAACATGGTTATTCAGAAATGCATAACATGCCTGGGGTTATACGGTGCGTTGGAATGTAGGTTGTTAAATCCTGCAAAGTGGGCTAATTAAACGGGCTTGTTGTCTTGGAAAAGTGCTCAGTCGCACCTGAAGGCACTGGTCATTCAAATGATTGATGCATAAGTTGATAAATCGACCCAATGTTCGCAAACTTGTCTGAAAGAGCAACCTTGGCCAAAGATCACTGCCAAACTAATGGTGTGATTACGACTATGTGGCAATATTGGATATTTATTACTAAGTGCAGGGGAAAAAATAATAAAAACTACTGTACAATGTTTGTCAGCTCAATGAAGGCTGGCCCATCTCAGCTAGCCACAACGCAATTAAAATGTTTTAGCCGTAAAATCAGCATGCAGAGATCAAGTATTTTTCAAGGAGCAAATAAATTAAGCTTATGTTTGTTTCTATCTAGTTCAATATCGAAGTCAAAGCAAATGACTGGAAGAGTTTTAACACAATAGAAGTTGTTCTTTGGAAAAACCGCAACAACGATGCGATATTTGCAAGCAAACCAGCTGCATAATTTACCGCTGGAAATAAACGATTTTGCATTGCATATGCTTAAATACACGCAAACTAGTGGAATATTACTCACCATGTATTCGAGATCAATAAAGGGATCGTTCACAGCCACAACTTCAACCTCCTGGTGCTCGAGCGAGGCCCGCATAACGAGTCGTCCGATTCTTCCAAATCTATCAGAACAACACAGAAACGTTATCTATGCTGCCAGGAACAGGCTGACAGAGCGAGAGGATCGAAAGAGCGAACACAGAATATAACTGTTTCGAAATCGACTCACCCATTTATTCCGATCTTCACCATCTTGAGTCAGTTTCTCTGGCGCTTTCCTGTGAAAAGGAACAAGTAATTCAGGATAATTCGATTAAAGTCACATTATAGGAGGAAAAGCAACAACGCGTAAGCAGGTTTGAACGGAGACGGGATAGTAAGATTGAGAATTCACCTGGTTAGGTCGACAAGGTTCTTCTGCCACGTTCGCAGACACAGTGCAAAGAGCGGGGACGTTTCTGCACAAGCAAAACCCTTAAGTGTAGCCGGTACTGATGTCTGATTGGCTGAGATTGTAATCGTTCGTGGGTCACCTGACCAAGGGTCGTGAAGCGCAGCACGGAAAAATGTGGAACTTTTGTTCAAAAAAAGTGAACACGTCACGAATATTGTTTTCTCTCGCGGTCAATGTCTTGCGCAAGAAGACCAAGAAAAATTAGCAGAATAAAATGTCAAACATTCGCATTTTCGCAAGCAAGAGGGCTTCTTTGTGAGTAGCCTGATTCTCAGACGGTCCGACTGTCAGTCCTCGATCCTCCTCTCCTCGGTTTTTGTTTTGCTTGCCCTGCCGGCTTTTCTGCCTTCTGTGATTTCTTCTTATTTTACCCAAAATAAGGGGGTGGGGGCGGGGGGGCGACTTCCACCGAAGTATTTTTGTCCCGTATCCCGCCATGAAACTTTGTGCCAACCCGCATCCCGCCACCATTTTTGGACCCTCTATATACCTTGCAGAACAACAGGTGATCCTAGCTATCTTTAACACGGTTATGGATTTACTTCTTTTTTTTTTTAACCTTTCCCTCGAAAGTTTGAAATAACGAGGCTCAAAATGTATTTACTGTGGGGAAGAGGTGGTTTAGCCAGACGGAATCCTGGCTGTTGATTGTCTCCGTTATTTTAGGCGAAGGCAAGTAACAGCTGGAAAGGCGTCTGCGTTCACAGGCTAGGAGTGATTCAGTTGGCGTTGGGTAAAATATATTAAAATTTTAATTTCATTTTCCTGCAATCTGCTTCTCCATTTTGAGCGCTGGATACTTTTGTACAGTAGTTTTGTAGAACACAGCTAGCAAATGTTCTGGGCAATCAACAAATAGCAAAGTTTTCTCAGAGGTTCGCAACACCTCGCACTTTGTTGGGTTTTCAATTTTGTTAAGATATATTGCTCGTATTATTCAATGTCATTGGTTATTGGTTTATTTGAAAAATTCTCAAGTAACGTTCCAATTGGTTAACTCTTTTCTTTTCTCTTTTTGGCCAAGTTCGAGTAGTCGCACTGTAAGTACATGTACTGTAATCCAACTCCAGAAAAGAAAGAACACACAGCTACAAACTAGAAATACAGTCAACTTTTTTTTTCTTCACAAAGGATGCTATATACAGTCAAATATACAGAGATAGTTTTCTTCGTCCCCGTGCACAGATGTCTAAAATTTTAGAGTGAATCCTGCAACGGCAGCAGAACCCTTTTTGGAAGTTGGCATGCGGAAACCTTGGCTGCCATTTCCACTGTCGCCTTCATCCGCCTGTCAAAACAGATCACAGTAGATAAAATATTGGTTACAAGTAACTCTACTTAGCAGCCGGGCAATTATAGACTGCAAAAACATTAGAAGGTTTCCTAGTTCTTTAATTATTTCTACATGATTCTTCAAAAAAGAAGCTTGGCATCAAGGCTTTTTCATGTTGCTAACCAACAGTTTTATTACCACCTACTGTCCGGGGAAAACCAAATCTTCCATCCCTACTTACTCCCACCCCACAAGAAAGCACGAAATATGACCGTTCTTGAGAGATTGAAAAAAATTGAAGAAAGATTATCTGCAGGATTAAGTAAAAATTTAATTGAAAACTAACAATGAGGGCCAATTCTCATATTCAATCAAAAGTTAATTACAATCAACCTAGGTTGTTCACAGCCACTCTATTATTCAACGCACGCGAAAGACAAAAAACAAGCGAAGCTATCGCGAGCGCGAAGGACGAGGGTGTAGGGGCGGGGAGGTGAGCGAAGTGAGCCAAACGATGAATTCGGTCCCCACCCCTACCCCGTTAAGTCTCTCGTTTTGCGCTGGCGTCCAGTTCTCTCGCGATTCTATCTGCGCATTCAACGATTGAATAAAAATACGAGAAAATACAAGACTGGTTTGATTAAAAGTGCAACTGATCCAGCTTTTACAAAACTCTCCCGTCTCAACACACTCACCAGCTTTGCAAACATAGCCCCACCCTGCGGGGCTTGGGGACTGTGTTCGACGTCCTTTTTCTTGGGTCTCTTTGCCATCTCACTTTTGGCAGGCCACGTGGGAAACATGGAGGGGTCAACTGGTTGAGGCGACTCCTAAGATGGGATGGAATATATACAAACGTTTAAGTTTAAAGACCAATCCAGTCAAAGAGACTGCCATCTTCCCTTTAGTGGACAGCTGAACTCTAAACTTCCTAAAGCCCCTGAATCAAGCCTCTTCATTTTCAATATGAAGGCTTGATGCCCTTCAGTATTTTTCAGTGATGTTTTCTCTTTTTAATCTGAACCCCCATCATACATGGCCCCACCTTCCATACAAAGGCAGGTACATGTAACGATGTTGTCCTTCATGGATTTGTACTGGTACTGGGTTTACAAGCACACTTACAGAGAAATATTCATGCTCTAGAGCTTTCTCAGCAGTTATCCTCCTGGTGGGATCGTAAGTCAGGAACCTGAAAAATGAAAATATACACATATTAATTCAAAATCTGACTAACATCGTGCATGGAAATACACTGCAAGCAAGTTCTCTAATAGACTTAAACACGTATGACTAAGACTCACCTGTTTAACAAATCAAAACCTTTGTCTGTCAAATGAGCGCCAAACTTGTTCCTCAAGTTGTTGTAGGGATAGTCAGTAAATGTCATCTAAAAGAAGTGATGCACAGACATTTGAGTTTAGAGGAACTTTGTATGTCTTGTATGATGCCTTGTTATTACAGTGGAACCCCACGTTATGGCCACCCCATTAATACGGCCACTTTATTGTGGCTCAAACAAAAGCTCAGTCCGTCATTTTATCTTTAATATGACCACCCCGTTAATATGGCCAGATTGTTATGGCTCGTTGGTGACCGGATTAATGGGGTTCCACTGTACCTTCAAAGATCTTTCAACTGTTATACTACATCAACATGTATGTAAACTCGTCTTTTAGGCATGCATGAATTTTATTTAATTTGCATGTAACAATTCATTGCGATTCAATCTCTAACAGACGACCATCTGTATGACAATTGAAGGCTTTCGCACAAAAAGGGCGTATAATTATAGCTTTTTGGGCCGATTTTTATTTTTTGCAGAATCGACCTAATTTTTGGCAGACTGACTTGTTTGGGTATCACTCACGGACCTGAACCCTCAACTTGCTCCTTAGCACTAAAGAATCCGTAAGGTTAGTTAAAATGAAAAGGACTTCGCAATGACAAAAGGATCAAACAGTTTACCTTCTTAACTGCTGGCAGCTCCGAATATGAAGGAGGTCCAGGCCAAATCTTGTCACTGGGTGTGCCAAGATCCTGAAGCAACAAACCAAATAATTCTCTCAAATTTTGTTCTTCTGCTTTTATATCAAGAAAACAAGTACACTAAGCTTGGGCTCACAGGAAAGAAAGATTGAAATAATTTAAATAGGCACACAATCAGGCAGTGAACAACTATGACTCTAAAAAGTAGCTGAGCAAAATTATGTTTGCCCAGTGTCTGCCAGGCCTCTTATAAAATATAAAGGTAACTGTGGGATCGTTGACGTCAAAAGTTGAAGTCAAATGTCATGGCCACCTTGTCCTGGCCTTGAATACACAAGTTTATCAGAGTACAGCTGTACTGTTAAGTGTCATATGAAGAGTCTTACTTTGAATATTCTGTTGATCTGGTCTATTTCTGACTTCCCAGGAAACAGCGGCTTCATGGTCAACAGCTCGGCAAATATACACCCAACTGACCACAGGTCAATAGGCGTGGAGTACTCCTGAAAGAAAATGACACTGCCTGTTATCATTCTCCCCAGCTAACACATTCATTTTAACAAACAGATTCCATGTTGCCTTGCGTCTGTTCAGTAACAGACTGAGCACAGATGACGTCACAACGTGGTAAGAACACAAAAGTAGCACACAAGCTGTTAGGTGAATGTGTCACTGATGTTCTTATCACATTTTGATAGCTTAGAACTGTGATCTACATGTACTACTGAAGAGACACCTGGCACCATGGAATCTACATGTATTTGTTTTATCAAAACAAAAAATAATATTATTGTTTATGATGTCATCTATGCATCTATCCTCCAACAGATCATAAGAACCAATCAAAAATTTGGGAAAAATTTGACATGTTATTATAATATGACATATAAATATAATATAATGTTAAAGTGGAGTACAGGATTCAGCTTGTAGTGCCGAGTGTGCAGTATGGTTCCATCTTGTCTGCTCAGTTGGCAAATCACTGAACTGGATTTGGTTCAGCTTGTCTGCTTGCATTTCTTCATAGTGCTGTCAGTATTACATGTACCTGTAGGCACTGTAACACAGCTGCTTAACATCACAAAAGCATACCTTGGTGCCTAGTAACAGCTCAGGGGCTCTGTACCACAGTGTCACAACGATAGGAGTGTAGTTTTTAAGTGGAGAGCCGTACTCCCTTGCAAGTCCAAAATCACCAACCTACATGTACAGTAAAACCAACAGGATCAAAACACATTAGAGGTACAATAATGATTGCAGTATAATTTTTTGACTACACCACAGATAGGGAAAAAAATTCAATTTTTCACGATAATTGAATACATGTAGTGCCCGTTCTAGAGGAGAGTTTGAGTGAAACTAGTGAGACAATCTCAGATAGTGCAGAGCGCAATTGATAGCTCTGGTACAGTAGTCCCATAAGTACTCACCCCTGCTCGGTTCACTTCCGGTTTGTGTCTACCTTGGTAGTCTGCTACGGCCTTTCCCCTTTGCAGTGTGTATGTTTCAAGGTTGTATTTTCATTCAAGGTCCAAACATTACGCACAAATTAATTACTACTGGTGCTTTAAGTTGATTTTC